AAAAACACAACTATCTCTTCTTGATAAAAGATGTGGAAACTTTTTGTCAGAAAGCTACATCTTCTTAATCTGATTGTCCAAATCATGAAAATATGGATGATTCAGTGCCATTTTGCCAGAAATTCTTTTGGCTAGATCGTAGATTGACATTTTTGAGAGCAAATCCAAGCCATTTTCATCCAAGTTTTTGACATGGGATGCTAGGCTTCCTGGTTTCCACTTGGGAAATGTATTCTTTTTTTTTTTGAGACAGAGTTTCGCTCTTGTTACCCAGGCTGGAGTGCAATGGCACAATCTCGGCTCACCGCAACCTCCGCCTCCTGGGTTCAGGCAATTCTCCTGCCTCAGCCTCCTGAGTAGCTAGGATTACAGGCACGTGCCACCATGCCCAGCTAATTTTTTGTATTTTTAGTAGAGACGGGGTTTCACCATGTTGACCAGGATGGTCTCGATCTCTTGACCTCATGATCCACCCGCCTTGGCCTCCCAGAGTGCTGGGATTACAGGCTTGAGCCACTGTGCCCAGCCGGGAAATGTATTCTTATAGTCCTGTAAAGATTCCACTTCTGGCCAGACTTCATTATTGGGAGTGCCCAAAGCTCTGAAAATCCTGAACAGTTGATCAATTTCTGAATTCCCATGGAAAAGTGGTTTCTTAGATGCTAGTTCAGCAAATATGGTGCCTGTACTCCAAATGTCAACTGGAGTCAAGTAACTAGCTGACCCCAGCAATACTTCTGGTGATCTGTACCAGAGTGTTACTACCTCATGTGTATATACTCTAATAGGTATTCCAAAAGCTCTAGCAAGGCCGAAATCAGCCAGTTTAATTGTTCCTTTGTCATCGATCAAGAGATTTTGAGGTTTTAAGTCTCTGTGAAGAACTCTTCTAGAGTGACAAAACACAATCCTCTGTAGGATTTGGTATAAATAACTCTTTAACAAGTGAAGAATCCATGTATTGGTCAGGAGGGATAGAATCCAAGTATTTCTTCAGATCCGTGGAAAGAAATTCAAAGATGAGATACAACCTGGAATCCTGCATAAGCACATCCTGAAGACTGACTATATTTGGATGACGGAGTTCTTTTAATAGAGAAATTTCCCGAATTGCGGTACTAGGAACCCCTTCCTCTTCACTTTCCAGTCAGATTTTTTTCATGGCTACCACTTGACCTGTAGTTTTGCGTCTACCTTTATACACAACTCCATAGGTACCTTCTCCAGTTTTCTCTATTTTAGTATAATCTTCCATAGTTAGTCAGTAGGTATGGTAGATCCCGGCTTATTATTCCACGGTGGCCGCAGAGGCAACTACCACAGCCGCGTCGCTTTCCGCTCACCTTCCAAGAGCCAGCTTTGAAGTGAAGTGCCTCTTCGTCTCTTTTTATAGTTTTTGTCTTGAAATCTATTTTATTTAATACAAATACTCCTGTTCTTTTTTGGTTTCCGTTGACAGTGAATATCTTTTTCCATTTCTTTATTTTCAGTCTGTGTGTCTTTATAGTTAAAGTGTGTTTCTTGTAGACAACAGATCATTGGAGCTTTTTTATCCATTCAGCCACACTGTGTCTTTTGATTAAAGAGTTTAGCCCATTTACATTCAGTGATATTATTGATAAATAAGAACTTTTATTCCTGCCATTTTGTTATGTGTTTTCTGGTTCTTATTTATAAGGGGAGAGAGGATGGCTGTAGCCTGGGAGGTAGAGGTTGCAGTGAGCCAAGTTTGCACCACTGCACTCCAGCCTGGGTGACAGAGTGACAGAGCGAGACTCTGTTTCAAAAAAAAAGGGGAAAAAAAGGGTCAAGCACAGTGACTGATGCCTGTAATCCCAGCACTTTGGGAGGCCCAGGCAGGTGGATCACTTGAGGTCAGGAGTTTGAGATCAGCCTGCCCAACATGGTGAAGCCTTGTCTCTACTAAAAATACAAAATTAGCTGGGCATGGTAGTGGACACCTGTAATCCCAGCTATCTGGGAGGCTGAGGCAGAAGAATCACTTAAACCTAGGAGACGGAGGTTGCAGTGAGCTGAGATTGCGCTATTGCACTCCAGCCTGGGCAACAAGAGCAAAACTCCATCTCCAAAAAACAAAGACTGATGCATTCTTGAGTATGTCAGTTGCATCTTTCCACTCCAGAATTTCTGCTTAATTATTTCAATGTTTGTTGAATTTACCTGATAGAATTCTGAATTCCTTCTCTGTGTTATCTTGAATTTCTTTGAGTTTCCCCAAAACAGCTATTTTGAGTTCTTTAACTGAAAGGTCACATATCTTTCTCTGCAGGATTGGCCCCCAGTGCCTTATTTAGTTCATTTGGTGAGGGTTTATTTTCCTAGATGGTCTTAATCAGGCGTCCCCAAACTTTTTACACAGGGGTCCAGTTCACTGTCCCTCAGACCGTTGGAGGGCCGCCACATACGGTGCTCCTCTCACTGACCACCAATGAAAGAGGTGCCCCTTCCTGAAGTGCGGCAGGGGGGGCGGATAAATGGCCTCAGGGAGCCGCATGCGGCCCGCGGGCTGTAGTTTGGAGACGCCTGGTCTTAATGCTTGTGAGTGTTCATGGATGTCTGCACATTGAAGAGTCAGGTATTTATTATAGTCTTCACAGTCTACACTTGTTTGTACATTCTTGTTGGAAGGTATTCCAAGTATTCAAAGAGAATAGAGTGTTGCAATCTATGTCTTCAGTCATTGTAACTGTATCTGTGTTAGGGGGTACCTCAAACTCAGCAATGCTGTAGTTCTTTTAAACTCATAGAGGTACCACCTTGGTGATCTTGGATAAGTCCAGAATTCTCTGTATTACCATTCTTCCTTCCCCTTTCTTCAGGCAGAGGAGTTGCTCCTATGTCCTCCAGCACCACAGGCCCATGGGGAGGGGAGTATTGCCAGGGTACCACCAATGTTACTTAAGGCCCAGGGCTCCTCAGTTAGCTCATGCTGGATGCTGCGGGGCCTGGGACTCACCTTCAGGACAGTGGGTTCCCCTCTGTTTTAGGGTAGGTCCTGAAATGCCATCCAACAGCCAACGCCTGGATTCATGGACCCCACTAGCCCACCTGGTACTCTTCCCAGTGTGGCCAAGCGTGTCCCTAAGCTGCAAGACAGTCCTCTTCACTCTTCCCTCTCCTTTTTTCAAACAGGAGTCTCTCCTGGTAGTCACTACTGCTCTGAATGTGCTGGGTGACACCTGAAGCCAGTATGTCTCAGAGTTTCAGCTGAGGCCCATGGTGTATACTACCTCATTACCACTGCTGATTATTCAGGGCCCAGGGGCTCTGTAGTGAGCAAATTATGAATCCCAAATGGCCTAGTTTTAAATAAAAAATTCTGTGTTTATTTTGTTTGTTTGTTAGAAGTAGCATCACTGTTGCCTAGGCTGGAGTGCAGTGGCACAATCATAGGTCACTGCAGCCTTGAGCTCTGGGGCTCAAGCAATTCTCCCACCTCAGCCTCCCAAGTAGGTGGAACTACAGGCATATACCAGCATGCCTGGGTAACTTTTTAAGTTTTTTTGTAGACGACGTCTTGCTGTGTTGACCAGGCTGGTCTTTAACTCCTATACTCAAGCGATCTTCCTACCCAGATCTCCCAAAATACTGGGATTATAGGCATGAGCCACCTGTATTTTTCTTTATTTGAGACAGCCTCTCTCTGTTGCCTAGACTGGAGTACAGCAGTGTGATCATGGCTCACTATAGCCTGGTCTCAAGCAATCTTCCTGCCTCAGTCTCCCAAGTACTTGGGACTGTAGGTACATGCCACCAATCCTGGCTAATTTTTAAAATTTTTTAGTAGACACAAGGTCTTACTATGTTGCCCAGGCTGGTCTTTTTATTTTTATTTTTATCTTTATTTTTTATTTTTTATTTTTTTAATTTTTTTTTAAGACGGGGTTTCACCATGTTGGTTAGGCTGGTCTTGAACTCCTGACCTCCGGTGATCCGCCTGCCTTGGCCTCCAAAGTGCTTGGATTACAGGCATGAGCCACAGCGCCCGGCCAAGGCTGGTTTTTTTTTTTTTTTTTTTTTTTTTTTTTTTTTTTTTTGAGACAGAGTTTCACTCTTGTTACCCAGGCTGGAGTGCAATGGCGCGATCTCGGCTCACCGCAACCTCCGCCTCCTGGGTTCAGGCAATTCTCCTGCCTCAGCCTCCTGAGTAGCTGGGATTACAGGCACATGCCACCATGCCCAGCTAATTTTTTGTATTTTTAGTAGAGACGGGGTTTCACCATGTTGACCAGGATGGTCTCGATTTCGACTTCGTGATCCACCCGCCTCGGCCTCCCAAAGTGCTGGGATTACAGGCATGAGCCACCGCGCCCGGCCCCAAGGCTGGTTTTAAACTCAAGCAGTCCTCCCACCTTGGACTGCCAAAGTGCTGGAATTTATAAGTGTGAGCCACCACACCCTGCCAGTCTTTTTGTGATTACTGACAGGTAAGAGAATGTTCCTTACCCGGGTAATTAATTTTGTGTAAGACTAAACCTGTTGCTGTAATTTGTTATGTTTATTCCGAGTAACAACAGTTTAACCATTTTTTATATCCATCACAATTTGTAGTTTTGCTTTTTGAAAAACGTGGTGTCTAAGAGCATATTATTAGGCTTATTACCAACTATACAGCATGTTATTTTCTGTATCGTTCCTCCCAAGTAGGCTAACTTGATGTTAAATATTTATTTTAAGTCAGGATACCCTTAGTTATTTGTTCCACATTGAATCTTGAAAAGATAAAATAGATTTTTCTTAATTTTATTATTTGAATGTGTAGTTCGGAAACTTAAGGGACAAGAGTAGGTACTTGATTCTCTCTTATTAATTTTATCTTTCTGATCATGATTCCTATTCTCTTTTTGTCTACTAGGTACATATGGGTTGCTAATTTTTTTTTTTTTCTATAGCCAAGTATTTGAAATATTTACATATTATTCATTTATTCTAAATAATTTAACACATTTTAATGTGTTTTTTTCCCCCCATTCTACCAGATCAAACTTGGACATCGATCAGAAGCTAAAGATGGTAAGTATTTCATGTAATCTGACAGATAGGAAAAGTTTTCTCCTTTTTTTTTTTTTTTTTTTTTTTAAAAAGGGTCTTGCTCTGTTGCCCAGGCTGGAGTACAGCAACACAGTCATAGCGCACTGCAGCCTCAAACTTCTGTTCTCAAGCATTTCTCCCACCTCAGCCTCCTGAATAGCTATAAACATGTGCCACCACTTGTGGTTAATGTTTTGTTTTTTGTAGAGATGGGGTCTGGCTATGTTGCTCAGGGTTGTCTCAAACTCCTGGCTTCAAGCTATCCTCCCACCTCGGCCTCCCAAAATGCTGGGATTACAGGCTTGAGCTACCATGCCCAGCATAAAGTTTTCATTCTCACTGAATAAATGAGCAAAGTGTTAATTAATAATCGTTAGTAATGGTTCTGGATAGAGTTATTGCAGGGTCCCTGAAGAGTAAAGGTAGATTCAGGATGGAGAAAGGAGTATTTGGTGATTTTTACCGATTGGATGTTCAGAGAAACATTCCAAATCACCAACATAAATGTAAGCCAGCAAGCTTAATTAGTCTTTCTGTCTTCATTACTGTTACAGGTGTTACAAGCCATTGTTTTTTCTGTTTCTGAGTTTCTAATTACTTGGAAAATTCAGGATACATTTTCATGAAAGTATATAAAGCTTATTATGGAATAGATAAATGAGGAAAATATTTTAGGAAATTTTCTTCCAAAGTCTTATTTATTAAGAGTCATCATAAAATAGCTATTGTAAAAGAGACCCATTATCTGTGTAAGTGCCAGTATATCTTATTTTTATTTTATTTATTTTTTCTGAGACAGAGTCATCCTCTTATTGCCCAGGCTGGAGTGCAGCGGTGCAATCTTGGTTCAGTGCAACCTCCGCCTTCCAGGTTCAAGCGATTCTCCTGCCTCAGCTTCCCTAGGAGCTGGAATTACAGGTGTGCGTCACCACACCCAGCCAATTTTTTGTATTTTTAGTACAGATGGGGTTTCACTGTGTTGGCCAGGCTGGTCTCAAACTCCTGGCCTCAAGTTATCTGCACATCTTGGCCTCCCAAAGTGCTGGGATTGTGAGCCACCCGCCTGGCCTGTATCTTATTTTTAATTTTGAAATCTCTCATTTGTATTGGAAAAGATATTATCTTATCACTAGTTTGCTTTTAGCACAAACAATATGCCACTAATATTTGTAGGGCAAGAGTAGGGAAGTTTATCACTTATATACTGCACCCTTATATATGTTGTTGGTCTAGTGGTCTTCAGATCCTAATATCCTATAGATAAAGTGAATTTTTTTTTTCACTATCGTAGTCTTTGTTAAGCTATTTAAAAAATAAAGCAATATAGGCCTGGCATGGTAGCTCACACCTGTAATCCCAGCACTTTGGGAGGGTGAGGTAGGTGGATCGCTTGAGCTCAGGGGTTTGAGACCAGCCTGGCCAGCATGGCAAAACCCTATCTCTACCAAAAATATCAAAAATTAGCCAGGCATGGAGGTGCACACTTGTGGTCCCAGCTACTAGGGAGGCTGAGGTGGGAGAATCACTTGAGTCTGGGAGGTGGAGGCTGCAGTGAGCCAAGATCATGCCACTGCATTCCAACCTGGCTGACAGAGTGAGACCCCATCTCAAAAAAATAATAATAAATGTAAAACGGCCGGGCGCGGTGGTTCACGCCTGTAATCCCAGCACTTAGGGAGGCCAAGGCGGGTGGATCACGAGGTCAAGAGATCGAGACCATCCTGGTCAACATGGTGAAACTCCATCTCTACTAAAAATACAAAAAATCAGCTGGGCATGGTGGTGCGTGCCTGTAATCCCAGCTACTCAGGAGACTGAGGCACGAGAATTGCCTGAACCCAGGAGGCGGAGGTTGCGGTGAGCCAAGATCGCGCCATTGCACTCCAGCCTGGGTAACAAGAGCGAAACTCCGTCTCAAAAAATAAATAAATACATAAAATAAAATAAAAAAATGTAAAATAACAACAGATTTGTCATAAAAATTGTCAAAGTACCCCTTATTTTTTTGTGGAATGTTCCGTTTTCTGAGATGACTAACCTTTCTTTAAAAAATATGGGTTTGTAAGGTTTGAGATTTCAGAATTACTCACTTTTTGCTTTGCCTTTTTATGTAGGTATAAATAGAACAGCCTTAAGAGAGATAAAATTATTACAGGAGCTGAGTCATCCAAATATAATTGGTGTGAGTATGATCAGAATTGTTACTGGGATTTGGGACTCTGCCTTTTCTTAATATAATGGATATTGATTAAAGGCTCAGCAAGATCACTTCTAGATGAGCCTTGCAGAAGCTTAAAGGAAGTGCATTTTCTATCCCAGTTGCTTCAGTAGGCATTGTCTTTAAAACTATACAACTGATTAAATGAAATATTTAATGTAGGCTAATTTTGTCAGAAATAATTTTGAAGTCAGGGAGCACTAGCATACAGTGGCTGAGAGTGTCAACCCGAATTCAAAACGTTTCTTTCTGCCTGTGTGAGACCTTGAGTGTGTTCCCTCACAACTCCCCAGAGTCCCTGCCTCATACATTGGTTGTGAAACTAGCTAATTGAATACATGTAAAGTATCTGAAATAGTGCCTGCCTGCCGTAAAAAGTATACTCATTCATTCAGTGATAGCTGCTGTTATTTAGAAGATTTCTTTAGTATCATGCTTGGGACTTTGTTAATTGGAAACTAGAATGAGGTTTTCATTGGTTAATTTCTTTTTTTTTTTTTTTTTTTGAGACGGAGTTTCGCTCTTGTTACCCAGGCTGGAGTGCAATGGCGTGATCTCGGCTCACCACAACCTCCGCCTCCTGGGTTCAGGCAATTCTCCTGCCTCAGCCTCCTGAGTAGCTGGGATTACAGGCACGCGCCACCATGCCCAGCTGATTTTTTGTATTTTTAGTAGAGACGGGGTTTCACCATGTCGACCAGGATGGTCTCGAACTCTCGACCTCGTGATCCACCCGCCTCGGCCTCCCAAAGTGCTGGGATTACAGACTTGAGCCACCGTGCCCGGCTCATTGGTTAATTTCTTAATTGTAACTCCAAATATTTGGGAGAAGAGGTTGGGTATTTTTTTTTTTAGTAAAATTTAATATTTTTGTACTTCAAAATACTAGTTTCTTTAATACTGTCCAAAAAGGACAAATGTCAAATTTAATCAAATGACTTAAGCTTTATAGGGAATTACCAATAGTTTAAATGCTTTTTAAATTTTTAAAAACTGCCTCAGTTGCTATGATACTGTCAGGAATTAGTGAATCACATTTTAATTTTTTTTACTTTGCAGCTCCTTGATGCTTTTGGACATAAATCTAATATTAGCCTTGTCTTTGATTTTATGGAAACTGATCTAGAGGTAAGATTAAGATTCCTGGAGAAATTCTTTTGTTCCAGTTTTTAAAAAAAAGAACCTGAATACTTGTGTTCTACCTAAGAAGATACTGGTAGTAAAAAAAAAAAAAAAAAAAGCTTAATTTTGTTGAAATCTGAATGTACTCTGAGTCAAAAGGATCTCTTTTTTTTTTTTTTTTTGAGACTGAGTTTCACTCTTGTTACCCAGGCTGGAGTGCAATGGCGCGATCTCGGCTCACCGCAACCTCCGCCTCCTGGGTTCAGGCAATTCTCCTGCCTCAGCCTCCTGAGTAGCTGGGATTACAGGCACGAGCCACCATGCCCAGCTAATTTTTTGTATTTTTAGTAGAGACGGGGTTTCGCCATGTTGACCAGGATGGTCTCGATCTCTCGACCTCGTGATCCACCCGCCTCGGCCTCCCAAAGTGCTGGGATTACAGGCTTGAGCCACCGCGCCCGGCCTGATCTCTTATTTTCTACTAATCATTTAGTGATATTTCCAGTGTTACATAAAGAGATTTGGATTTCATTGTGGCATTTCTGCCTATCAAGTTCCCATAGCTTGTTGACGTCATTTTTCGAGAAATGATCATTAGACTATAACTTTTTTTTTTTTTTAAGACAGTCTTGCTCTGTCACCAGGCTGGAGTGCAATGGCGTGATCTCAGCTTACTACAGCCTTCACCTCCTCGGTTCAAGCGATTCTCTTACCTCAGCCTCCAGAGTAGCTGGGATTATGGTGCCACCATGCTTGGTGAATTTTTTAGTAGAGACAGGGTTTCACCAGGTTGGCCACGCTGGTCTTGAACTCCTAACCTCAAGTAATCTGCCTGCCTCAGCCTCCCAAAGTGCTAAGATTACAGGCATGAGTCACCATGCCCAGCTGACTTGTAAGAATTTAAAGCTTATTTCCAGTCAGGTGCAGTGACCCACACCTATAATAATCTTAGCACTTTGAGAGGCCAAGGCAGGAGGACTGCTTAAGCCCAGGAGTTCAAGACCAGCCTGGACAATGTAGTGAGATCCTGTCTCTACTTTAAAAATTATATTAAAAAATAAAGAAGCTTGTTTCCATATAATCAGAGTAACGTCATTCTTTTGAAAGCCAAGTTTGGCAGAGTCTCATTCTGTTACCCAGACTGGATTGCAGTGGCATGATCTCAACCCACCACACCCCCTGCATCCCAGGTTCAAGCTATTCTCGTGCCTCGGCCTCTTCAGTAGTTGGGATTATAGGTGCCCACCACAATGCCTGGCTAATTTTTGTATTTTTAGTAGAGATGGAGTTTCACCATATTGTCCAGGCTGGTCTCAAACTCCTGACCTCAAGTAATCTGCCTGCCTCGCCTCACAAAGTGCCAGAATTACAGGTGTGAGCCACTGTGCCTGGCCAAGTTTCTTTCTAAAAAAATATAAAATCTTCTTTTTAAAAAATGTAAAATCCAACAAAAAAGAAAAAAGAAATTTAAAAATAAATAAAAATATAGAATCCATTAATGTTAGTCAAATCTCAAAAAATGAGCAATTTGGCCAAGCATGGTGGGTCACACCTGTAATCCCAGCACTTTGGGAGGCCAAGGTAGGTAGATCACAAGGTCAAGAGATCAAGAACATCCTGGCCAACATAGTGAAACCCCGTCTCTACTAAAAATACAAAAATTAGCTGGGCTTGGTTGCGTGCACCTATAGTCCCAGCTACTCGGGAGGCTGAGGCAGGAGAATTGCTTGAACCCGGGAGGCAGAGGTTGCAGTGAGCCGAGATCTCGCCACTGCACTCCAGCCTGGCGCCTGGTAATGGAGTGAGACTCTGTCTCAAAAAAAGAACAATTCAAGGATATGGAACAGCTGGAAGTTTTTTTTTTTTTTTATTTCAATATATATTTATTTAGAATGCACACTAACATCATGTTGATAAACTGTCATTCACAAACCTATACCAAGAAGCACATAATCTTTTGATTTTTAATTTTTATTTATTTTTTATTTTATTGCATTTTAGGTTTTGGGGTACATGTGGAGAACATGCAAGATTGTTGCATAAGTACACATGTGGCAGTGTGATTTGCTGCCTTCCTCCCCACTGCCTGTATCTGGCATTTCTCCCCATGCTATCTCTCCCCAACTATCTCCCTCCCCTATTTCCCCCCACAGACCCCAGTGTGTAGGAAGCACATAATCTTTAAAATGTGTTGTTCTTCACAAGTAACTTAACTATAACATTATTATTATTTGCGCCGGGCGCGGTGGCTCACACCTGTAATCCCAGCAATTTGGGAGGCCGAGGCGGGTGGATCATGAGGTCAAGAGATTGAGACCATCCTGGTCAACATGGTGAAATCCCGTCTCTACTAAAAATACAAAAAATTAGCTGGCCATGGTGGTGCATGCCTGTAGTCCCAGCTACTCAGGAGGCTGAGGCAGGAGAAATGGCTGAACCCAGGAGGTGGAGGTTGCGGTGAGCCAAGATTGCACCATTGCACTCCAGCCTGAGTCACAAGAGCGAAACTCTGCCTCAAAAAAAAAAAAAGTTATTATTATTATTTGGTACTTGAGTCAAAGACGACATTTAGATTCTTTGGCTTTGAGGCATTTAGTAACATTGTCTAGTCAGGCAGAGGAAAGAAATTCAAAAGCAGTTTCTTTTTCTTCTTTCAGTTCCTTTGCAGTAAGTTCTGTCTTCTCACATGAAAAATCATTAATAGGGAGACCTTCAACAAACTTCTAGGTCTTATTCTTGATTACAACAGGGAATGAGCAGAGCATATCATCAGGAATACCATAGGAGTTGCCATCAGAGTAACACCCATGGACACAAACTCTCCCTCTGACACAAACATGTCCCTGATGTGGTCACATACGGCTTTTGCAGCAGACATTGCTCTGGATAGTTTTCGAGCCTTGATGATAGCGGTGCCACGCTGCTGCATAGTCATGACAAATTCTCCTTGAGCCTGCTGTCATCTTTCAGAACTTCATAAACACAACTTCCTTTCCTTGCAATTTCACCTTGGCATGGTTGACATCTGGATACTGAGACAAGGAATGGTTTCCCCAGATAATGACATTTGTTACATCATTAGCAGTCACACCAAGTTGAAGAGCAATTTGAGCTTTAGCTTGGTTGTGATCCAAACAAGTCAAGCAACTGAAGTTCTCCTTGGGCATGGATGGAGCCAACTTGGAGGCAGTCAGGCAGTTGGTATTGGCTGGATTACCCACAACAATAACCTTAACTGACCTCTTGTAGTTCTCTAAGGCTGCACCCTGGGATTTGAAGATTTTCACATTTGCTTTCAGTAAATCTTTTCTTTTTTTTTTTTTTGAGATGGAGTTTTGCTCTTGTTACATAGGCTGGAGTGCAATGGCGCAATCTCGGCTTACCGTAACCTCCGCCTCCTGGGTTCAGGCAATTCTCCTGCCTCAGCCTCCTGAGTAGCTGGGATTACAGGCACGTGCCACCATGCCCAGCTAATTTTTTGTATTTTTAGTAGAGACAGGGTTTCACCATGTTGACCAGGATGGTCTCGATCTCTTGACCTTGTGATCCACCCACCTCGGCCTCCCAAAGTGCTGGGATTACAGGCTTGAGCCACTGCGCCTGGCCTCAGTAAATCTTTTCTCTCCATGCCTTTCCTTCCTGGCATGGAGCCCACGAGAAAGGCCACATCCAGGTTTTTGAAGGAAACCTCTTCATCTGTTGCGATGACATCTTTCAGGAGGGAAAGGGTACAGTCTTGCACTTCCATTAGGACAGGATATGCATCATGGGGGTGATATCTAACAGCCCAAAAATTATAGGCTGGTCTTTATCAAAGACAGATACACAATTTGACCAGCTTCTCCAGTCACAAGGACTCTGTGGTTCAGACATGATTGAAAACTGCAGGGACAATTTCAACACTTGCAAAATGAATCTCAGAAAGTTAGGTTACCTCTCCGAAGTTTTTTGTTTTTTGTTTTCCAAGATGGAGTCTCTCTTTGTCACCCAGGCTGGAGTGCAGTGGCATGATCTCGACTTACTGAAACCTCTTCCTCCCAGGTTTAAGAAATTCTCCTGCCTCAGCCTCCTGAGTAGCTGGGATTACAGGTGCCTGCCACCACGCCTGGATAATTTTTGTATTTTTAATAGAGGCGGGGTTTCCCCAACCATGTTAGCCAGGCTGGTCTTGAACTTTTTACCTCAGGTGATCTGCCTCCCGAAGTGCTGGGATTACAGGCACGAGCCACTACACATGGCCAGTACAGCTGGAATTATACACTGTTAGTGAGAAAGCAGTGAAATGATACAGTTTCTTACACAATTAAATACCAGCCAAATCAAAGCAAAAAAGGATTTCATACAAATTACCAAAAAGTAAAAGGAACATATTAACTGATCAAACTGATGATGACTGAGTCCATAGTCTATTGTGATGGGTCCTTCCAGCAACAATACCACTAGTATTGTGATCTATAATAGCATCACTAACAGTTGTGATAAGTATCACTAATCACTGATCTTGTATCTGGCAATATCACTGCTAGGTATTTATCTAAAAGAAAGAGGCTGGGAGTGGTGACTCACACCTATAATAATCCCGGCACTTTGGGAGGCCGAGGCAGGTGGATCACTAGAGGTCAAGAGTTTGAGCCGGGCGCGGTGGCTCAAGCCTGTAATCCCAGCACTTTGGGAGGCCGAGGCGGGTGGATCACGAGGTCGAGAGATCGAGACCATCCCGGTCAACATGGTGAAACCCCGTCTATACTAAAAATACAAAAAATTAGCTGGGCATGGTGGTGCGTGCCTGTAATCCCAGCTACTCAGGAGGCTGAGGCGGGAGAATTGCCTGAACCCAGGAGACGGAGGTTGCGGTGAGCCGAGATCGCGCCATTGCACTCCACCCTGGGTAACGAGAGCGAAACTCCGTCTCAAAAAAAAAAGAGTTTGAGACTAGCCTGTCCAACACAATGAAATCCCATCTCTACTAAAAAAGAAAAAAAAAAAAAAACTAGCCGGGCATGTTGGTGGTAGGCACCTGTAATTCCAGCTACCCGGGAGGCTGAGGCAGGAGAACTGCTTGAACTGGGAGGAGGAGATTGCAGTGAGCCCAGATCACACCACTGCACTCCATCCTAGGCAACAGTGAGACTCCCATCGCAAAAAAAAAGAAAAGAAAGAAACATATGCCAGAATTCACTTGGTACACAGATGTTGGGCTTTATTTATAATTATCAAAACTGGAACAGTCCAAACATCCATTATCAAGTAATTGTACAAAAAACCTGAAATACTACTCAGGAACAGAAACAAACTATTGATAAATGCAACAACATAGATGAATCTCAAATGCATTATACTAAGTGAAAGAACCCAGGCTAAAAAGACTGTATTGAATAATTTCATTTATATGATATTATGGAAAAGGCAAAACAAGCCAGAAACCAGATCAGTGACTGGGGGGGCTTTGGGGTAAAGGAAAGGAGAAGTACAGAGGGGCCTCGGAACTTTGGGAGGTTATGGAATTATGTATTGATTATAGTGGTAGTTACGTGACTGAATGCTTTTGTCAAAACTCATGGAACTATACACTAAAAAGGGTATATTTTACCTTAGATTTGATTTTAAAGAAAAAGGGAACTTTTAGTTTCTTTTTTTTTTTAGTTTTTCAGAAAGCGATTTATTTGGTGGGGGGAGGGAGGGAGGGAGGGACGGAGAGAGAGAGAGAGCGAGCGTGCAAGCGCGCGAGCTCCCATGCTGTTGTGGGAGGGTATCCCAGAGAGGAAATCCCAGAACTTTTAGTTTCTAACTGATAAATCTAGAAATAAACTGACATTAGGCACAGTTCACAAATAATGCCATCAAAACTCAGTCTTACACTTTAACTCAGCTCTGTTTTCTTCTCTGTTGCCTTCTTCATATGTACAGTTCTCAATATAGTATTCCAGACACTTCTTGGAATATGTGTGTAGAGTTTAATACTACCTGGGGAAAGAAGAGGTTTCTTTTCTTTGATTCTAGCACAAGTACTTGGCTTGATTGATTGACTTGGCTTGTATCCCTGAACCAGTCACTTGACCAGGAGACTACAGTGTGGTAATGGCCATGTCTGGGTCATGTGCATGTTCTTACCTCTGGAGACCTCACGTTGGCTCAGTTCTGTCTGGGACTAAGCTGAGAAAAGAGGTTTCCCAAAGGAATATTGAATGCTGTTGTGAGAAGATGCAAGGAAAAACAATAAGTGTTTGCTGCTTTCATGTGAAAGCAGTAGGGGACAAAGCACTGCTTTCTTTTCACACCAGAAATGCTCTCCCTACCCACATAAATGTGGAGATTCTGACAGTGCTTCCTGTGGAAACTTACGTAACCTCTCTTGAGAGTCTCCTGTATGGATACACTCGTTTTAAGTCTGTAAATTGTTTTTTATGGTAGAGTTTATTTGAAATAATAAAGGGCACCTGTATGTTTTATACTTGCTTTATAGGTTATAATAAAGGATAATAGTCTTGTGCTGACACCATCACACATCAAAGCCTACATGCTGATGACTCTTCAAGGATTAGAATATTTACATCAACACTGGATCCTACACAGGGTAAGGTTTTTAATATTGTTTCTTTATGCTAGTCAAGTTTTATGTAGCCCATTTAGTACATAATAGTCTGAATATGTAAATTGTTTAACAAAATGAAGATACAGCTGAACCATTTTATCCCATCTTTTTCCTATATATTCCCTTCAGTTGTTCCAGCCATTGGTGCTGTGAGGACTATGTGAAATTTAGAACTGGAAGAGATCTAGTCCCTCATTTTTTAAAAATAGATTAAGAGCTAAGTTGCTAAGTGACCTGACCATGGTTATAGCTTTTTTCAAGGTTGGCTGCTGATAGCAGACAGAGTATTAAAACACAGGTCTTGGGCCAGGTGTGGTGGCTCACGCCTGTGTTCCCGGCACTTTGGGAGGCCGAGGCAGGCAGATCACTCGAGCCCAGGAGTTCAAGACCAGCCTGGGCAATGTAATGAAAACTCGCCTCTGCAAAAAATACAGAAATTAGCTGGGTGTGTTGGTGCACATCTGTAGTCCCAGCTGCTCAGGAGGTTGAGGTCGGAGGATCACCTGAGCCCGGGAGGTGGGAGTTGCAGTGAGCTGAAATCACGCCACTGTACTCTAATCTGGGTTGCAAAGTGAAACCCTGTCTGTCTCTCAAAAATAAATAAATAAGGCCGGGCGCGGTGGCTCAAGCCTGTAATCCCAGCACTTTGGGAGGCTGAGGCGGGTGGATCACGAGGTCGAAAGATCGAGACCATCCTGGTCAACATGGTGAAACCCTGTCTCTACTAAAAATACAAAAAATTAGCTGGGCATGGTGGCTCGTGCCTGTAATCCCAGCTACTCAGGAGGCTGAGGCAGGAGAATTGCCTGAACCCAGGAGGCGGAGGTGGCGGTGAGCTGAGATCGCGCCATTGCACTCCAGCCTGGGTAACAAGAGCGAAACTACGTCTCAAAAATAAATAAATAAAAATAAATAAATAAATAAATAAAACAGATCTTTTGGCTTTAAGTTCAGTATCCTTTGTGCTACAGTGTTGTTGTGGGGAAAAAATATATAGTGATGGTCTTGGATTAACTCATACCATGCCAAAATACAACTAGAAAAGAAATGTTTCTAGTAGTTCTAAAATTCAAGGTACAAAATACAATGTATGAAAATATGGGAACATTCAGCTTTTTGAACAAGGCCGATAATTTAGCTAGGTAGATGTTCCTTATTTAGATAAGTAGTAAGAATATATAATTTATAACTAATAATTCTAATAGCTTAAGTTTGGAATCACTTTTAGGTTATTGCTGATGTCTTTTTAGCATAGATTTTGAAGAATGTTAATCCTCATTCTTTATATGATATGCATTTACAAATACTGTTTTTATGAAAGTTCATATTTTTATTAAATTAATAATAGGAACCATTTATTGGGTGCCCACTATGAGCCAGTCATTACACTAGACTACAGAGAATATCAGATTTAATCCTCCCAGAAACTCTATTAAAGTATGTAAATTGCGGCTTAGTGAAATTAAGTACCTTACCAAGGTTATTTAATATAACTAATCTAACTTTGCTTTGGTAAAATTTTAAATCAATGGAAAAAATATTAATTGTTTAAATTTCAGGTGTTAACCTATTTTTGCTAAGTTTAAAGTTATGCCGACTAAATGTGGCACTACAGTGTTCTCCCCTATCCTGCTTATTTGTTTGTTTAAAACTTCTGTCATATAGGATCTAAAACCAAACAACCTGTTGCTAGATGAAAATGGAGTTCTAAAACTGGCAGATTTTGGCCTGGCCAAATCATTTGGGAGCCCCAATAGAGCTTATACACATCAGGTTGTAACGAGGTAAGAATCCCTTAAAGCTGCATGGGCAGGATGTTGATCATAAATGAGCATCAACTGGCTTTTCTAAAATATCTTGGCAGAGTTCAGGAATCATTGTTGGTATCCTCTAAAAAAAATACTGCCTTGGGTATTAATTTCCTATTAAAAAAAGGAAAAAAAAATACTGCCCTTTTTATGTTAGGTATATTTTACCATGATGAAAACATACACAGCCCTTTTTCAAACAGAATTTAACTCAATCCTAAAACATTTACCTTGTAAATGGGAATAATTTATACTTTTACATTTTAGCTATGAGATAATCTAGAATTTCAGTGGCTATTCTACCTGATTTATTAGACCCATGTTTATTATATTGGTCAGTCCTGATTCTGTATCCTTCCATGTGAATGAAAATTCTGTGAATATCAATGTCTTGATATTTGAATTTTTCATATTAGTAATTATATTTTCTGTTTGTATTTTTGATGTGTAAAAACAGAAAATCACATTAAATAGAAATGATAAATTTTATAATTTCTGTCCCAGTGGCATTTTATTAATTTCCAAGACTTTCTTAAGGATCTGCAAAGATTTTCAAATTCTGTATTTTTTCTTTTCCTTTTTTCTTTGAGATGGAGTTTCGCTCTTGTTACCCAGGCTGGAGTGCAATGGCACGATCTCGGCTCACCGCAACCTCCGCCTCCTGGGTTCAGGCAATTCTCCTGCCTCAGCCTCCTGAGTAGCTGGGATTACAGGCATGTGCCACTGTGCCCATCTAATTTTTTGTATTTTTAGTAGAGACGGGGTTTCACCATATTGACCGGGATGGTCTCGATCTCTTGACCTTGTGATCCACCCGCCTCGGCCTCCCAAAGTGCTGGGATTACAGGCGTGAGCCACCACGCCCAGCCTCTTTTTCGAGACAGGATCTTGCCCTGTCATCCAGGCTGGAATGCAGTTGTGCAAACACTACTCACTGCAGCCTTGACCTCCTAGGTGCAAATGATCCTCCTACCTCAACCTCCTAAGGATCTGGGGCCACAGGCATGCCCTACCACAGCTGGCTAATTTTTTTTTTTTTTTTTTTGAGATAGAGTCTCACTCTGTTACCCGGGCTGGAGTGCAGTGGCACAATATCTGCTCACTGCAACCTCTGCCTCCTAGGTTCAAGCGATTCTCTTGCCTCAGCCTCCTGAGTAGCTGGGATTATAGGCGTTCACCACCACACCCGGCTAACTTTTGTATTTTTAGCAGAAAAGTGGTTTTACCATGTTGGTCAGGCTGGTCTCAAACTCTTGATCTTGTGATTTGCCCACCTTGGCATCCCAAAGTACTGGGATTACAGGCATGAGCCACCACACCTGGCCACAGCTGTCTTATTTTTTAAAGTTTTTGGGCTGGGCGCGGTGGCTCAAGCCTGTAATCCCAGCACTTTGGGAGGCTGAGGCGGTAGATCACAAGGTCAAGAGATCGAGACCATCCTGGTCCACATGGTGAAGCCCCATCTCTACTAAAAATGCAAAAAATTAGCTGGGCATAGTGGCGCGTGCCTGTAATCCCAGCTACTCAGGAGGCTGAGGCAGGAGAATTGCCTGAACCCAGGAGGTGGAGGTTGTGGTGAGCCGAGATCGCGCCATTGCACTCCAGCCTGGGTAATAAGAGCAAAACTCCGTCTCAAAAAAAATTAAATTAAATTTAAAAAAATAAAGTTTTTATCGAGATGGATCTTGCCATGTTGCCCAGGCTGATCTCAAAAGTCCTGCACTCAAGCAGTCCTCTCACCTCGGCCTCCCAGATTTATGGGATTACAGGTGTGAGCCATTGTGCCTGGCCCCAGATTCTCTATTTTAAATTATTTTGCCACCTTCTTTCAAATACGCATCATTGAGTATAAATCACCTAAGCCCTGAGTAAGAAGAAGGGGATGTGAGTAATTGTTTATGTAATTGCTAGATCAATTAAGCTCATCATTCAGGAACTCATAGAAACAGTGCCCTGTGTACAAGAGCATTGTTAACTGATGCTTTCTCATCTACCAGTGTCTCATATTGTCTCTGTCTGTAAATCAAATGTTGCTAATAAGTCAAGTTAAGATGAAGACTCTGAGAGTTGACAATGAGATTTAGCAGTGTGGACATCACTGATAAGCTTGATAAGAGTAGTTGTGGTAGAATGGTAAGGATAAAAGCCTGATTGAAAAGGTTTTAAGAGAGGATGGAAGAGAAAGAATTGGAGACAGTAAGAACAGACAATTCTTTGAACTAATCAGAGAATGAGGAGGTACCTGTTAGGGGAGATAGGGTCCAGAGAAGTTTAAGGCTGGAGGAATACTAGTATGTTTGTACATCACTGGGAAAGGTCTAGTAGAAAACAAAAGACTGATAATGTAGGAGAAAAAGGAGAGAATTGCAAAGGTATTGTATTTAAAACTTCATGAAACAGTATGGTATCTAGTGTTTAAAATGGATTGGCTTTAAAAACCGACAAGGATCATTCATCTCTAAGATGTGCTTTGATAATTGTATGCTAAAATGATACTAATTCTTTTTGTTCTTTAGGTGGTATCGGGCCCCTGAGTTATTATTTGGAGCTAGGATGTATGGTGTGGGTGTGGACATGTGGGCTGTTGGCTGTATATTAGCAGAGTTACTTCTAAGGGTAAGTCTAAATTAATGTACACACTTTAATATTGCTGTTGGAGTTATTTGTTCTTACAGTTTGTATAAGAATTCTTGTCCTAGCCCGAGCATGGTGGCTCATGCCTTCAATCCCAGCACTTCGGGAGGCAGAGGCAAGCGGATCACTTGAGGTCAGGAGTTCGAGGCCAGCCTGGTCAACAAGGTGAAACCCCTGTCTCTATTAAAACTAGAAAAATTAGCCAGGCGTGGTGGTGGGTGCCTGTAGTCCCAGCTACTCAGAAGGCTGAGACAGGAGAATCAATTGAACCTGGGAATCGGAGGTTGCGGTGAGCCGACATTGCGCCACTGCAGTCCAGCCTGGGCATCGGAGCAAGACTGCGTCTCAAAAAAAAAAAAAACAAAGAATTCTTGTCCTACCAATGTCCTTAAAACAAAAGCCTACAAATAGACCAATTTTTAAAGAGCCAAATGCAGCATTTTAAAATAAATGTTAATATGAAATGAGAATAGCTTCCATTTAGGACAATAAGAACTTTATTGTAGATAGTTTTATACTTCAGAACATAGAAATTCACTTGTAATATGGCAGTACCTCTATAATAACTAAATATGTTTAGATAAACTTTTGTCCTCATGAGGGGTTTTTTGTTTGGAGCTGTTTTAAGTAGGCTTTAGGAGATACATAAAACCAACCACTGCAGCTAACGTTCTGTATAACTTCAACCTTGTGTGAGACCAGTATTTTAGTGCTGTTGAAACAGAACAGATACAATGTTACTATAGGATTTCTCTATCACAGACCATCATCTTATAGTAAGAAAATCCCTAGGCTGGGCGCAGTGGCTCACGCCTGTAATCCCAGCACTTTGGGAGGCCGAGGCAGGTGAATCACAACGTCAGGAGTTTGAGACCAGCCTGACCAACATGGTGGAACCGCATTTCTTAAATTAAAAAAAAAAAAAAAAAAAATCCCCTACTTACCCTCATCAAAGAGAAAAATGTTACTTGGAAACTTCTCTTTAGCTGTGCTTGTACTGCCGTATAAGTACCACACACTAACCGATTGCGCCACTGGAGTTCCACTTCTTTAGCTGTAAAGTTTAGATCTCCAGAAAGACTAGCCCTTCTGAATGATGAAGGTAAAGGGATACTGGGGAATCCTGAAGCCAGGAGTTTTTTCTCTCTCCATATTCCAATCCCTGCTGTCCTTCTCCTCAAGCCATGTGTATTTAAAGAAATTCAAACCAAGATTGAATAGCTTTTTTTATCTCCTTGAACACAGAAAACAACTTCTGTACACCAAAGAGAAAAGTTAACACTAAACTAAAAATGTTTAAACTAAGCATACTGGTGGCTCATGCCTATAGCCCCAGCTACTTGGGAAGCTGAGGTGGGAGGATCACTTGAGCTCAGCCTGGACAATATAGCAAGACCCCAATCTCTTTAAAAAAAAAAAAAAAAGTAAATTCTGTGCATCATTTTGAGAAGCTCACCCAATGGGCATTTTTAGAGTAACCCACGCATTCAAACTTGAAGGTGATATTATAATCACAGTGCTAACGGGGTCCTGTGAATCAGCTGGCATGACGTATCTGCTACTTATATGAACACAGAGTGTACCGGAAATTCACATTGAGAATTTATTAACTGCCAAAATCCATTCATGGCCAAGAACAAAACAGAATTCCATATGAAGGGAGACAGCAGTTGAGAGTAGACAGGTTAGAGAGTGTGGACCTGTTAACAATCATACTTGGAAATTTATTAGCCATTGGCTTTGTTGCTGGAATAATCTTTAAAGTTATAAGGAAAATGAAATGCAGACTCTAAGAAGCTTTCTAAGAATTGTACTAGTGTGCGATACTGCTTGTCATATTTTAAGCTATCCCTGCACTCAATTGAAAAGGTAGAAATGTTGCCCATATGAATGCTTAGCCAGGGATCACCAAATAGTTATTAAGGATCTTCAGATAGTAATGAATACTTCCAAAATGAAGCTGTTTTCCAGCTTCCTGGAAAACATTGTGAAACCCTGTCTCAAAAAAAAAAAAAAGATAGATGGACTATAGTAGAGAAAAGATCAAATTAACAGATTGGTCCAAGATTGATTCTAGAATGTATCAAGAGAAAACAAAGAAAATGGAGGGTAGGAAAGCTCAAGAAAATAGAGAAGCATTGCTGGATGTGAATCTTCAGACCGACATCACCATGAAGAGTACAATTATGAAAATTACAAATAAAACTTCAAGTGTTCTAAAGGCTTTGCATAAATGAATGAAAAAAATACCTGTGCCGAGACACATTATTGTCAAATTTCAGAATACAAAGGCTTAAGGAAAATATTTTATTTCCACAGAGAAGAAAAGCAGCATACATAGAAAAGAAAATAAAGGATTAGGGAAAAGAATGGCATGAGCCTTCTCAGCAACAGCATTGGAATCTAGAAGTCTTCAGTTTGTGAGGGAAAATGATTCTCAACCTAGAATTCTTTGTCTGTTTATATTTTCAGTTAGCTCTGAGAGTAACTATAATTTATTACATCAGAAATTTACATCTAGGCCAGGCAGGGTAGCTCACTCCTGTAATCCCAGCACTTTGGGAGGCCAAAGCGGGTGGATTGCTTGACCTCAGGAGTGTGAGACCCACTTGGGCAATGTGGTGAAACCCTTTCTCTTCCAAAAATATAAAAATTAGCTGGGCATGATAGTGAGTGCCTGTTGTCCCAGCTACTCCAGAGGCTGATGTGGGAGGATCACTGGAGCCTGGGAATTGAGGCTGCACTGAGGTGAGATAGTGCCAGTGCACTCCAGCCTGGGTGACAGAGTGAGACCCTGTCTAAAAAAAAGTAAAAAAAGAAAGAAATTACCAGACATGGTGGTGCATGCCTATAGTCCCAGCTATTTGGGAGGCCTAAGTGGGAGGATTGCCTGAGCCTGGGAGTTGAGGCTGCAGTGAGCCATGTTTGTGCTACTGCCCTCCAGCTTAGGCAACAGTGTGACCCTGTCTCAAAAAAGAGAAAGTTTAGTGCCAGGCAAGGTGGCTTACACCTGTAATCCCAACACTTTGGGAGGCTGAGGTGGGTGGATCACCTGAGGTCAGGAGTCCGAGACCAGCCTGGCCAACATGGTGAAACCCTGTCTCTACTAGAAATACAAAAATTAGCAGGACATGGTGGCAGGCACCTGTAATCCTAGCTACCCCAGAGGCTGAAGGAGGAGAATCTCTCAAACTCAGGAGGTGGAGGTTGCAGTGAGCCGAAATTGCACCATTGCACTCTAGCATGGGTGACAAGAGCAAGACTCCGTCTAAAAAAAAAAAAAAAGTTTAAGAAGTTTTTGGACGCGCTCTACCATAACACAAGAGTAAACCAATAGGAAGACATGAGATGCAAGGAACATAAGCTTCAACACAGGAAAGAGGCCATCAGAATTCCCATTTAATAGTGAAGGAAAAGGGCCGGGCGCAGTGGCTCAAGCCTGTAATCCCAGCACTTTGGGAGGCCGAGGCGGGCGGATCACGAGGTCGAGAGATCGAGACCATCCTGGTCAACATGGTGAAACCCCGTCTCTACTAAAAACACAAAAAAGTAGCTGGGCATGGTGGCGCTTGCCTGTAATCCCAGCTAGTCAGGAGGCTGAGGCAGGAGAATTGCTTGAACCCAGGAGGCGGAGGTTGCGGTGAGCCGAGATTGCGCCATTGCACTCCAGCCTGGGTAACAAGAGCGAAACTCCGTCTCAAAAAAAAAAAATAGTGAAGGAAAGTTCTGAGAAAGCAGGTATACATCGGGCGTGGAGAGTAGCTAGTCCAGATTGGAGCAGATGGAGTGAGGACCTCAGCAGGGGCGGCTTCCAGGAAAAAAAAAAATTGAACTGATGGTTATGATTGGTTTGGTCATATAGAAACTGATATTTAATAACTGGAATATTTAGCTTATGTATGTATAAACCAAGTTGCCAAATAAGGCAGCAGGAGTTGGTGGTGGAGGGCTAGGAAATCATTACTTTAGGAAAACCAAATTGTATAAGAGAATTAATCTTTTTTTTTTTTTTTTTTGAGATGGAGTTTCACTCTTGTTACCCAGGCTGGAGTGCAATGGCACAATCTCGGCTCACCGCAGCCTCCGCCTCCTGGGTTCAGGCAATTCTCCTGCCTCAGCCTCCTGAGTAGCTGGGATTACAGGCATGCGCCACCATGCCCAGCTAATTTTTTGTATTTTTAGTGGAGACGGGGTTTCACCATGTTGACCAGGATGGTCTCGATCTCTTGACCTCATGATCCACCCGCCTCGGCCTCCCAAAGTGCTGGGATTACAGGCTTGAGCCACCACGCCCGGCCGAGAATTAATCTTAATATTGCCTCTGCACTGAACAAAAGTTACAGTTATCAAAAATAAGAGGGAAAGACGGGTTAAAGAACCAACTTTTATTATGTCTTTAGTACTATTCAAGGTTTAACAAGGTTCATTTATTTAATACAAATAAAACATTTTAAATACACAGCTTAAGTTCCAAAGCAGCTCTTTAAGAAAAAATTGGTTTTTTTAGTATGGATATTTTCAAACATGCAAAAACTGTAGTAAAATGAGCCTCTGTCTGTACTCATCAACTTGCTTGCTTCAGTAGTTTCAAACATATGATCCATTTTATCAGTACTCGACCACAGTAGATTTTTTTTTTTTTTCTTTAGAAGCATGTGGAATTATCAGCCTATAATTAAGAACTAAATAGATTTGGCTTTTAGTTTGGTTAACATCATGTGAGCATTACAGAGATCTGAGTAGAGGACAGTTTTTTGTTTTTGTTTTTTTTTTGGAAAGAGAAAAAGAATAATAAGAAAAAGAATAAAGAAGAGGAAGAAAGAGGAAGAGGAAGAGGGAGAGAGAATGGGGGTATTGCTTTGTTGCCCGGGCTAGAATGCAGTCAAAATACGGGTATGCCTATAATTGTCCTTAATAATGGAGACATGAAAGAAAATGAGGGAAGAGAGTAACAAACAAGGAGCCAACCAACATTTCGTTTA